CCCCAAAACCCCAAAACCCCAAAACCCCAAAACCCCTATTCAGACTCCAAAAGTTGAAATCTTAGTACAAATTATTCAGTGTGCTTTGCTCTTTTATGCCTCATTTGGTATGTTTCAGAATCCCTATTGTCTCTTCTCTTTTGGTAATGGTTAAAAGAGTCTCTATTGTTTCTTTTACCTTGAGTCGCATATCTATTCGTAGCATCAGAAATCTTATCAATAGGTTTTTCTAATCTCTCTTTTTCACGAATTAATTTCTTTTTCTCTTGTTTTGTCTCGTATTCATGAGTATCTTTATCTAATAAAGGAATTTCTCCAGGAGGACAAGCTCTTGGAGGATGGCGGAAATAGTCATCATCATAAGCCCCATAAGCTGACAATCTTTTCTCGGGCTCGAGAGTCAAGAGTTTGCATAAGAATTCTATACAATCAAGATCTAGAAATTCTCAATTTTTAGAGACAAGATGTTCCCTCAGTCTGCCTTTCTTTGGATTTTCAAGAAACTTTTTCTGGTAATGCTCATTGATCTGGAGATTATTCAAATTTAGCTTACCTTACTAAATCCTTTGAAGATCTTTGGATCTGGAGTACCTCATATTTCAAGTATTCTTTCAAGCTGATCCTGATCATTGCTGCCTTTGAAGAGGACATCTCCTGTAAATAACTCGTAGAAAAAGCAGCCGATAGACCATACATCTACCTTATAGTCATAATTGCTATACCCAAGCAAGATTTCTGGAGCTCTGTACCAAAGAGTCACCACTTTAGTTGTATAATTCAGCTCATTTTCTGGAAAGATCACTCGAGCTAGACCAAAATCTGCTATTTTAATGATCCCATGCTCATTAATCAAAATATTGGCTCCTTTGATATCACGATGAATGACTTTGGAATTATGGAGGTAAGATACGCCTTTTAAAACTCCTTTCATGATGCTCTTGATATGAGGAAGGGTAAACTTTACATTCTTCTCGAGTAACCCTTGTAAGTCATGCTTTACATATTCAAATTGGAGATAAAAAGAGCCTAGAGATAATCCGAAATAATACCTTTTCCTCCATTCTTGACTGATTCTAGATACTGAGTAGCTAAGCTTACCTCTCGAAGGATAGACATCTTCAAGGATCACTATGTTGATATCTCTTAGTTTATTTCAACAATGTTATCTCTCTGAGAGCCGTTACTGGAAACTAAAGTTTAAGCCATAAATTACTCCATAATCTGGATTCTCCATTTTGAGCTTCTTCAGTGCTACCTTACGGACATCTCCAGTTTCCGGATCCTTTCAGTCTGCCTTGTACACCTGTCTATATTGATGATTAGTCAAGTTATGGAGTTCATGTAGACAAAGAAAAATTAGATAGCTCACCCAAAAGTTCCTTGACCAATAAGTTCTTTGTTATATCACTGGGAAAGCCTTGTAGCCTTGATCTTCTCAGCCCTAGTTTTCTCTCTCACTCTAAATCTTGCCTTCTGAGAGAGCAAATGCTTGCACCTAAAGTGAGCTTGATTAGATCATGAGGTAAAGCTGTACTTTTGGAACGAAGAAATTTCATTTGAGCCTTCTCCTGACACCAGCTTGGCTATCGCATCCATATTAAAGTCTTTTTCCATTTTCTCCACTTAAATAATTCAGTAAATAATAGAGATTTTGGGGTTTTGGGGTTTTGGGGTTTTGGGGTTTTGGGG